AGAGATCTCTACTTCTGCGGTGGGAAGAATCTAAGCGTTACAGCATCTGTGGGCGATGCAGGCAGTTGTCTCCCTGATATTTCACGAGAAATGTACGTCTCTAACTCATGGTGGTTCTTAGGCCTGAATTGTGATGGCTTGCTTAAAGAGAAGTCTGACTATTTTTTTAGTTATTCACAGAATAACCATTCACAGGCTAGTCTCAATAATATGTCCCAAAATAACCTATTTTGGGATTATATAGTAAAACTTCACAGTTACCTAAGAGTGAAGTAGGGATGAAACTTTACTCCTAAAAATAGGCAGATAAGCTAAATTAAATTTTGTTTTTGATAACCTAGCCCTGGCTTATCAGTTTTCTTAAACAAGCTCAGGGTCACTTAGCAATGGAAATGCAGCGTGTGGACAGCTACGAAGATGTTGGGAAGCAGTAGACCTGTGATCAGAAACCTGCCTGCTGCTCAGAGCTTGTTTATAAATACTAACCTCCCCGCAGATAGAGCGGAGAGCGATGATGTCTATCAGTGCTACTGGCCCGTTTGAACTACTCTTGACTATTGATACCTTAAATTGTAGCAGTGCAAGTATTCCATGACACATGCTAGAGGCCTGGAAAACTGCAGGGAACAGTGCTAGACCATTGTTTCCACAGCTTTTGGACCTCAACCCTCTGCTATGGCCCTCCAATGATTGCTGTGTGAAACTAATGCTTCTGTACTTATCACGGTTTAATGTGGTTCTGAGGTTTACTCATAAATTGCCAGCTATATATAAACAACAATTAGGATACCACTGAAAAATGATGAGAGCCAGAGATTTAGATTTGTCCCTTAAGCTTTTTTTAGTGGTAGGTTATGAAGTTACTGTTTCTGTCACCTGTTTTGCAGAGTTGAGGTTAGGAGAATCTTTGTGGAAGAGGAATAAAAGTTAACTACCTGAAGACTTGCACCACATAGTAATACCAACTTCTGCCCCATGCTTTTCTGCAGGTGTTCTGGCGAAGCATACCTGTGCAGCCAAGGAATCGCACCTACCAACTGGGCGATGTGGGAAAACATAGTGGCGCTCTTCTGCATGACTCTTATCTTCCTTATCATTGCCTATGCAAAACTCCGGTTTATGAGAAAGTTCACATAGATTCCTGCGTTGCCTTGTTCTGCAGCTTCTCTGGTCTTAAAACTGCGAAGCTTGTTACGGCCTACTGGAGATTGCCCAAAGACTTCAACTGACTTTACTGGACTTCAGATGGGAACCCTGTCCCCTCGTTTCTGGAGCTTTCTTGGTTTTTAGGAAGAAATGCATGAATGTATATTGCATTAAGTGGTTTGTTTTTTTTTTTTTTTTTGTAAGAGAATATAATTCCTTAGGTACATATCAAACTATGCGTTGTAAAGCATTATTCTTCTGTGGCAAGCTTATACAGGAAATGCTCAAAGGGAAACATTTTCCTTTCAGCTTGTGAGCTTCTCCATCACAAACAGTGTAAGGTGATGATGGCATTTATGCATTGATACGTTGCCCCTTGTTAGTGCCCGTCAAATCTGAGGAGAGCCAGAGACCATTCACGGCGTGTTGGAGATGCATCTGAGTTTGAAGTCAGTACCGGGAATGAGCCCTCCTTGCCAAGCAGGAACAGTTACACTTCTAGCAGCTTCTCGATGGAAGCTACTTGCAGAAACAACTTTTGCTTGATTGAAAACTGAACAGCAGTGGCGTAAGACACCTCATCTAAGAAGAGTGAGAAATATATACTGTTGTACTGTAAAAAAACCCCCCAAACAACCCCCACAAAAAAACACCTGACAGCAAAAAATACACTTACTACTTAAGAGGAGGGGAGGAAATTCCTTTTAATAAAAATTCGTATACTTAGCAATGGCAGATCTTTTTAACAGACTTAATGCTTAGCTGCACCATCTATATATAGTGCTACTTAAAACTATGGACTGAAAACACCTGTGTAGACACTGCTGTGGCAACTACAGCCACGCTTACCGCAGCCACCACAGGACAGACCGTAGCGTGCCAGCAGTTGTCTCCTCACCACATCATTAGCAAAAGCAGCGCTGCTTTTAAGCTGCATTAAGATGCAAGGGGACCAGCTAAGCCAAAGAAGACATCCTCAAACACAAGGCTGGAGGGTTTGCTTGCGAGGGCCGGGCCTTGGAGCGGGGCTGCAGCGTGGAAGCGCTGCCGGTGCTCTTGCGGCAGGTAAATGGTGCG